TGGACCTGCCTTCTGCCTGGGGCCATAGGAGAGGACAGCATGACTCTGCGGACGTCTGGTCTCTCATGGGGTGCTCCAGTTCAGCCTACAAAAGGAGAAAACTCAAATTGAGTAAACCCGGCAGGCAGCGTGGTGGCTGACGGCGCTGGAGGTGGGAGAGCAGGCATGCGTCCGGCCCCGGGGCCGGGGAGGAGAAGGGTGGCTTCTGGGTGCCGGGGAGATCACATGCAGCGAGTTGAGCCTGAGGGAGGGCTGGCAAGGGAGGAGTCCCTCTGATCGTGGAAGGGCTTGACTGGGAGGAAGTCTGCCAAATTTCATAACAGGGCCAAATAGGAAGGGAAAAAAAGTGAAATTCAAAGGTAGACGCGCATGAATGTCATTCTCTCCCTCTGTGCCCTAACTGAAGACACCCCAATCGCTCTTCTGACAGTGGGAGCATTTGAGAGAATGAAAAGGGTTGGGTTGGTGGTTAACTGCTAGTATTTATGATGCTCTGTAGCACTGGTGATCAGTTTTCCAGTTTTAGCCTGAGACTATTGAGTTGCAAGAGGAGGAACCCATGAATACCTACCCGCAAGGCCGCTGGCAGCCTGGTTATGTTGTTGGCACTGGTTGCTGCTGGTTCCTTGATACCTGTGCCCGAGAGGAGCACTCTCCTGAGGACTGGAGGTGAATGGGAACAATACTGTGGAGGTCTGCATCAGGTGGCGAATTGGGTCTTGCCTTAATATGTAACCTGTTCTCTGAGCAGCGGTTACGTCCTAAACAAATAAAAATCTAATGTGAATATTTCAAGACCCTGCAGGAACATGTTTATGTTTAGCAGTTGGGGCATTACTAGCAACGTAGCGTAACTGTGTCCTGCCTTTGTACCTTGTTGTGCCTTGGTACCTTCTTGAGTAATTCTGGTAGTGATCTGAGACTTTAAAAGGGAGAGATAACTCGGAAGAGATTATCTGTAGATCTTTGGTAGAGTTATGAAATGTGCTGCAACCACCCTTTATTCCTCGAAGGAACACTGATGTATGTATAGCATAATATAGTATATCTAATATTGTTGAACGGTCAGTCAGGCAACCTGGGGAGCTTGCAGCCATTGGAAGTGTATTGCTACTGCTTTACAGTGCTCAAAATAACAACCATAAAGAGCCATAAATGCTCTCACAGCTATGTTAAGATTGCTCTGTTGGAAACAATATCAATGTCCAGTTTATCTTTCCATGATTTACTTGCTCCTTTCAATAGCTGCCAAAACAAGCATGCTTTCTTGAAGATTTACTCCCTTTGCTTTACAAAGACCTTGTACTGTAGGCTTAGACTGGACTTTTTCATGATATTTAATTTTTTCTTTTAAAGCTACAAAGTTTAGCACTTCTAAAATAGAGCCCTCTGGATTTTTTAAACTTTCAGGAAAAGTCAGAAAAGCATGAGACAAAAGCCCAAAATTCAACTTTGAAGAGATAAGGCAATGAAAGACCAAACCAACTATTACTGTTGGTTTTGGGGTTAAAGAAAAGCAGCAGCAACAAAAACATCCTTCCAAAGACTCTGTTTACACTTAGTCTGCCCTAAGTTTCTGTTGGGGAAAGGCTTCCAACCATCCATGTCGAGGTGTCGTGCAGCTCTGTGAATACCAGCTGCTCTGTGCTTAGTTCTGGATGTGAAATGCGTCCATATTCTTTGAAATGTTGGACAATGAATTTCAGAATTGGTGAACAGATATTCAACTTTACAATCTGCCTGGTGTCAGTGAAGTCCCAAATTCACCACTTCAAGCATACGTTTATTCTTTCAGTTTGAATTTTTTAGGCTCCAGTGCTATTTAGAGGAAGCCTTAATTTATTCTTGACAGCAACCATCTTTAAGGGGTTGTATGGGAGGATGATTATTTAAGGAACAATATGAAACCTGACTTCGGAGCTTCTTGAAAAATGAGCTCTGTTCTTTGCTTATTTCCATTCCAATACAAGAGATACTGTATCATACTTGAAGTAACGTGGTTGTTGCAGAGAGACTTTTTTTTCTAAAGAGTTGCCAACTCATTACTTCACTGTAGAGGAATGTGATATTTCTAGTATTCTGCTTCAGTGACTAGATTAAATAACTGATGAAAGCCTGTTGCTTTGATGCTATTGCTGGTTGTCTTTATAATAATGGTTCGCTAAATATCCTGCTTTTGTGCTTGTTTCCAGTACTTTTGTTTATATCACATATCTTCCTGCTGCTGTCTTCAAAAACTTTGCGTTTAATTCTGTGGGACTGTCTTAGGGAATGGTACTTCTAAAAATACTTTCTAAAACCATTGTTGTTACTCAAAGTAACACCTAGAGTAGTTGCTTAATGATCTTATGTCATGACTTAAAAGAAATTCTCCCTCGAGCTGGGGTTTTGAAAAATGTATTTGAGTGCTTGAGTAATTACTTTAATAGAAGCCTTATGGGAAAGCACCGAGCAGTAAATGAACTAAGAAAAGAGCAGAGGTCATCTCTTCGACGTGCGTCTGAAGCTGGACATCCTGGAGCTTGCAGTGCTGGCTGGGTTTGGGCTCACTGCCGCGTTCCGGCGTCTGCACAGGAGCCAGGCGGGCTCCAGGTCACATACAGGGAACACGCTGTACGAGAAGAGACAGAGCGTCTTCACATGCTTGCCTCAACCCCTGTTGAGAGAGAATCTCCCTGAAGAAAACGGAGTTTTGTTCCTGTGCCTTTTGAACTGGAGGAATGAGTCCAGCACAGCAGCAATCAAGCACGGTACCTTTGTCTTTAAACAACAAAATGCGGCTGATGAGCTGCACGCGCTCCTCTGCCTTTGGAAATGCAAAGCTTTAACTTGAGAAGTCGTACAAACAACGTGCAGTGTTTGTACAGTGGCCCTTTTAGTTTGTTTAGTTATTCTGGAGGTGGGGTTTGCACCTTGTTTTGCTGAGAGGCTGTTTACAAAAGGAATTTCTGACTGGGCTGGATTAATTAGTATTCTGGTATGTTGATCCAGTAATGAAATTAGCTGTTACAGAGCAACGTGGCAAGCTGAAGAAAACTGTCATGAAGTTTAGATGTCACAGAATTTTTTTTTTTTTTTCTTCTAAATGCACAAATGATTTCAGGTATGTTGTCTGGAGTGCTGGGTTTTGGATGGGTTTTCACTTAGGGGTGAGCTTGTGGTTTATGGTGTTCTCACAGCATGACAAAGCTTGGATGCTCTTTAGCGAGTTGGATGTATTCAGGTGTCCGTTGCAGTAACTTATCAGCCACATTTTACAATTGTTTGTAATTTTGTCTCGCAGATTTAATACCTACAGTAAAGCCAGGTACAGAATCACAGTTCTGCAGAGTAATGCCAAACAAGTAGTAAAAGTGCTCGTCCGAAGAGAGGTCTGACGTAAATCACGGTTACTGACTGCACGTTATATTCAGTGACCGGTATTATGCAGTACCCCAATGCGTGTTTAGTTGTACGTAGGGTTTTGCTTTTGTTGCTGAGTTGATCTGGACTGAGGGGAGTAGCTTGGACAGACCTTCCTTTACTGGTGCTGTTCCTGTTACTGCGTGCTCGGTACTGGATGTTTCGTGGTGAGTTATCTAATCCTGGCACACCACCTGCTGTCGAAAGCAGGCACTGGGCATCAGTGCTTTTCTTGCCTAGATCTTCATGTAATCCCCTTAATGTCCTGCTTTCTTGGCCTTAGTGCAAATGGATGGTTTCTTGGTTGCTGGTATTTAAGAGTGGAGATCCTGGCGCAAACCTGAGGTTGGATAAAGTGGAATTAGTAGCTAATTCTATCGTATTTCAGCAGTCTATTTAAGAGCTTAAGCAAAATTCAAATGTGGTTAATAGTAGTGAGAATAAAGGGAAGGGTGTTTGCTTTAAGTAGAAACTTGGTTGTTCAAAGTGAAGTCTGAAACGCTGCAGTCATCTCTTTTCGAGAAAGATAAACTATGTTGAAGATTTCAAACTAGCAATGACATCAGAAGTTAAGATATTTTGTAAAATACCTTTTTTTTGTAATAAATAACAAAATATTAAAAAAGTGAGTCTGCCTTCCATAATTCTATTTTTCTTTTTGTGCAAAAGTGAAAACCTCTTTTCCATAGTTACTCAGAGGACTGCATAAAGATCTTGACCTTGGAGCTGACAGGAGTCAACTCAGTGCTGGCAGGACAAATCTGTGTGTACACAACTTCCTTTGGGCCTTTGTAGTTTTAATCCAGGTGCACGCTTTTCAGAAATAAAGAAAAGTCTTAACTAAACTCAGATTTTCTTGCAGAAAGTGTAGTTGCATTGCCAGTAGGACCAGAGTAAGCTCCTGTCTGAAGGTGGCACACGTGTCCCCTATATAGATACTCTTCCTATTTGATTCACTTAGCTATTGGGCTAAGTATTCAACAAATGAAAGCAGCAATTAATGCAAAAATGTGTCTGCACCAGTTGGCCATTAGGAGCTCAGTTCCAGGCAGTGCTGTTTAACTAGTTCTGCAGAACTAATCAGTTTTCAGTATGTTATGCGATTCTCTGCTGCTGTGTTTGTCCTGGAGAGGACCTGAGCTGTCAGGGTGCACTGTCGAATGGGGGTGGGGGGAATCTCTGTTCTGGGGGCAGGAACAAACAGGAGAATCTTTCTTGGATTGTCTTTGAACCAGAGGCTGTATTTTTATGGGGTTGTCAGTACGGCTAACCAGAATACACATAGGTGGGACAATACTATAAAGACTTTCTGTGTGTGCAGATGTCTGCATTGAAGGCCAGTCTGTAAAGCTCTTGGCTTGTTCCCAAGGTCAATATGCAGGTAAAATTGGATTCTTTAAATCCTTGGAACTGTTTTTCTGCATTTACAGCATTTTTTTTACCATGTCAGTGCGAGGCAGATTACACCTTTTTACATGGATTTCTAATGTGTAAATCTTTTTACTTGTAGGCGTATATGTAGAAGAAGCAGTTGTTTAAGCTTCTTTCCAACTCCTTTTGTTCTTTTCTCTCCCTCCCCCTTGCCCCCCAACTGACAGGTCCAGGAGCTTTGCCAAGGGAGAAGCATGCCTCTCTGAAGAGTTCTCCAGCCTCGTGGGCTAGCTCCGGTAAACTGCTCGCCAAATCCCAAGTGCCTGTCAAGAGACCAGTGCTGGAGAGAACACCTAGCATCTCGTCAGTCAGCAGCACTCAGAGCGAGCAGAGTCTTTTCAGCAGTAATGGTGAGGATCCGTTACGGGGTTTCACTGGTAGCCAGCATCAACTGCTTGTTGAAATCCCCGTGAAGAGAGTCCTGCCTGGCAAAGGCCTGGGTTAATGCTCATTGTACTGCTTATTGTTAGTTCTAGGTCTTGCTCTTTGTGCGTCTTAACTTACAGCTTTCCTTGTTGAGAGTTGCCGCCGGAAGGGGCTTTGAGCCTTGGATTTTGGTTTGTTGAGTTGAGGTTTCAGTACAGCTCCCCTTCAGTCCTGAAACGTTACAAAACCAGCGGGTCTTTGAGCAGAAGTTTCCTGGTGTTTACATGTAGCGTCAGAAGGACGAAGTCTGAACAATGTGAATGGATTACCCGTCATGATATTTGGAACAGCCCGGTACAGTTTTTGATACTAAATGCACTTTTTGAACTAGATTATCTCTCTTTCAGAGTTTTGTAGGCTAAATGCATAGATGAGGTCAAAAGCAGGTGAGTGGAAACTGCTTTCAGGAGGTAAATCTTTGCATGGGTAGACTTCTAGAATTTCTGAGGTCACTGCAAGCTTTAGCGTGTGACCTGAACCAAATCCATCTTATTTAAAACTGGGGAGAAAAATAACGGAACTTGCTTTGCTTTGAAGGTCTACCAAGGGTCTGTACCAGCAGTTTTGGGAGATTTAGGGGCAAAAATAAGAAGGAAATATCACACAACCGTCTGACGTGTCGGTATTCCCAGCTATACATATTCAGATGAGTGCATTCAAATATTCTGTTACTATCACATCATCTGTTACATCTTGGAGGCTGGGCAAAGGCCTTTCATTTATGCCAGCTGTCGTTTAAATCTGTCTTCAATGGACTGAAAGAGAACTATGATTTAACATACATTTGTAGTTTATGTATGCGCATATGCATGCATACATAAGTAACTAAATTTTCTCTTGTTCTTTTTTTTCCCTGTAGTGCCTTCATTAAAAAACTAAGACGTAACATATTCCTCAAAGGAATAAGAGTATGTGTAATAAAATATGCAGTGCGTGCTCCTGTGTAGTCAGGTCGGTTCTGTTACCGTGACAGCCATGTTGACTTTTGCTGTTCAGGTTCAGGACCGTATCTGGAATTCCTAAGCAGCTTTGTCCTCTCTTCATTTTACTCCCTCCGGTAACAAAGGAAAGGGTCATCGCTTGATAACAAAGAAGTGTATTCAGATTAAGTATTCCAACAGATGACTCCTTATTCAGCCTGATTTGCTAGCTGGTTTAATCTGTTTTGTCACTGCCTTGAAGCTTACAATTTTTTCCACTCCGATTCACGAAGAGCAAGCAGGAACAATATGAGAGGTTGAACATGGCTGCAGTCTCTTTGGCTTTGAACTTGCTTTGATCCTTTTTAAATGACTATACCAGGAGGACTCCGCAGTTGCACGGAAACTAATTTTTCTCCTATTATTTTCATCAATTCTACACTAACGCCACCGACTGACTCAGGAAGCCACTATGATATTACCTTACTGACACTGCTGGTAGTGGGATCTTACAGCTTCTGTATCATTCCTTTGTTAGCCACGTTTACTGGGAAAAGAAGTAGGTTGTATTCCTTTTTATTTCTTTTTTTTTTTAAAGCATGTATTTTATTCTGTGGAGGTTGGTAAATGTATGCAATGTTTTGACTTGCTGATTTTTCCATAAGATGGTTTTTCTTTAGGTAAATGGTTACACTCGGTGAGAATGGTTTAAGTCTGATGGTCAGGTTTTTTGAGTATAATGAATTTAGGTTACATGATTCACATGTTAGTGTAGTGGAGGTCTAAAGACTTTGAATCAAACTGGAAAGAAGTAATGCATTTCCTTTGTACTCTAATGTTTTAAATACAGTGCTGTTCTTGGTTTTTATTCTTCCATTTAGTCTACTATACAGTAATGTCGGGAAAAAAAAAAATCTGTGTTTGTAAACTGAAAATTTTTTTATTAGCTTGGTGGGACGTGCAAAGAGTCAGGATGTGGGAGGCTTATGCTGTGAATGTTATGAAATTTATGGCAGACTGTTGTGGTCCTGTCAACAGTGTTAAATGGACAAAGTCACTTGGCTTGTTTTGCTTAAGGAGTTTACCTTGTGTTAGCAGAGAAAAAAAATTACAAAAGAGACCGTTTCCCCTGCTGTGTCAGCTCAGCCCTTTGTTATGGGGTATCCCTGGCTTGGTAATTTCCGGTGACAGCGTTAGGGTAGGGGTTTTTTTGCGTCGTCTGAGCACTTCAGTTTTATGATTCTTTTCTCTAAAAAGACTTACTATTTGAGAAGTTTGGAAATAATGAAGTTTGAAATGTTGTTGTCACTAAAAGAATATTTTGCATGCAAGCTGTCAGCTTGAGCAGGGGAAATTTGAATTTTTAACAGAAGAGCAATCTCAATTTCAGTGCTGAGCTGAAAATACAACCATTTGAACATACCGAAATGTTTAAACTCTGAGGTTAACAGGAATCCAGATTTGAATTGCATTAGAATAATTTCATACAAAGGAAATAGTATTTCAGAAGTAAGAAAGCTGATCCTAGCAATTGACTTGGAGCTGCCTTTCTGTATAGTCAATACTTCACTAAAATTCTTTGAATGAGTTCAGTTTTTAAACCCTTTAGATCTTAGCTTGGGTGTGATCACTTCGTAGCTGTCTGTCTTTTATCAAGATTGCAGCAGCTACTCCTGATTCTATGAATAACCATCTCTGAATTGTATATTGACCAAACTTTGTGAATTTGCCTTTTTTTCTGCATGCAGCCTGGTTTGCTGACTCCATGGCTTCTAATCCGAAGACACAGTGCCCTGACTAATTCCACACCAGAAGTACGCTCGCTTCCCCAGCGTGTTACTTCCATGGCGTGCTTCTGGTTTAGAAGAAAGTAGCCCAGCAGTTTGGAGCAGTTGTTAGCTGCTTGCGGGGAGCTCTGAGCAGAAATCCTTGGTTTAGTGATTTGTGGAACAAGTTAAGGGCTGCTTCAGGCCTCACGCTTTACTAAAACAAATCGATTTGAATCATCTGATACTGATCTGGGTCAGACTCCTGCAGAATAACTGTGTCATCGATGTGTTAATGCAAATTGTTCCTCATGTGTAGATTTTTTTTTTTTTGCAAGTATTTAGCTTTTGTGCCTTTAGACAGGTTCCAACTTTACTTGAAAAAAAGAAAAAAAAGGAGGACTCCAGTTGCTTGTGTTTCTAGCAAGGCAGGCAGTTCTGTCCCTCTTTCTATTGTTGAAAATGTATCGATTAGTGGCCAAAAAGCATCTTTTCGAAACAGTTATATGGCTTACGCTACTGCATTTAAAGACACTAAAACAATCTCAAGACTATATGTTTCATCTTTCTGTGAATGACATATCTAATATTGTTCACATTACCTTTAAAAAAATCAGCTTTATTGAAACACTAATCTGGGGCAAACTTGGTATTATATGAACACTCCCTTGCCCCCCCCC